ACATTGCAAGTTTTAATCTTAATTGTTGAATAAAAGAAAAGTCGAGCCCAAAACGTAACATCTTTCTCAATCTATTTACACACACACTACGTTGCTGATCTAAGCAGTTTTCATTAAAACGCATATGACCTTAGTTTATACAGGATAAGTTCACCAATGCGTTCTCAGTAGTAAAGTGGCAGAGAGTCAGTTGACCACAATACCGCAAGGCCTGAGGTTTCATTCCTCATGGGGAACACACAGTTTTTAGTTTTTGTCTGACTGCAAGTAGTCCCAACTTTTTGCCGAAGTCCGTCTCACGAGTTAAAAAACAATCTGAACTGTGAATGAACACTTAGATTTAGCATTGCAAAAACTACATTAAGTTCAGTTTTTATTTTTCAGCTCCAAGTCCTATCACGTTTAAAATTTGGGAATGGAAGTATCGTTAACTCTAAAGCTAATTTTGTCGCTTAAAAGTAATATGTTTGTTTTTATCCGAATCGAGTATTACTTAGATTATTTAGTTTTTATGTAAACATTTTAAGCGCTAGATAGTGTACTTCAATTGGACAGGAAATTAAAAACTCGCGGCCTAACTGGACAGGATGGATAAAAAGAAAGGCAAACCTGGTCAGAAAATATTTGGAGACCATAGCTTTATTCAGAGAAAGGCTAAATTTGTTGAGAAGTGCACAACTTGTGAATTCCTTGATTTTTAGATGCGTGCAACAAATTTACCACGATTAAATCGTTGTTTAGTGGACTTTATTGCCAGATAATTGCGTGGTAATGTGTTAAAAAATTTGTGAAAAGAGAAGGATTTTGTAACAAATCCTTCTATTCAACAATACTTTCTGGAAAAGAACACATATTTCGAATGATATTTACCGTTGAAAATTGCGCCCAGTTCAGGTTTTATTTTCCAGCCATTATTCTTATCACGTTTAATAATCAAACTATCGTTGATTCCAAAACTAATTTTCTCGCTTGAAAAGTTAGATGCGTATTATTTCCGAAACGAGTATTATTTAAGTTATATAGTTTTCCTTTAAAGTTAAAACCTCTATCAACTCTCTCGATCGGACCGGAACTGAAAACTGTCTTAAAAGGTTTGAAAATCGTGGTTAAGCAGGAAGGGACAGAAGCCATGTCTGTGGTGAGGGGGGCTCATTGTGTTGTTCCATTCTTAGTGCCCCTTCTTACCATTAAATTGAATTATTATCATATGCTTAACTGTTATACAAGGTAATACAACTTCGGACCTTATGCTTAAAACACATTTGAAGAGTATAGTCGTCCGAAAAGCAGACTCAACCATTTACTACTGAACCCGTACGGGATTTGAACCCAGGACCTCTGCGATACCGGTGCAGCGTAGAGTTGGTAGAGCGCTGCACCGGTATTTACTACAGTTCTTCCTCATTGTTTTTCTTTTCTATATTTTGAAGGACACTTCACTTTTTACGGCTGCAAGAAATGGTCAGACTGATATTGTAAGGTTGCTCATAGAGAACGGAGCTGATGTCAACAAGGGAGAACGGGTACGTTAGAAGGATAAATTGTATATGTTATAAAGAGTAAAGTCAGAGTCTAAGAGTAAGAGTATAAATTTCATTTAAATTTGTAGCAGAATGTAGCCGTCTTTAAAGCAGATTCAACCATATATCCTTAGGGTGGTCATTAAAGAAGAGAAAATGCGGTTTATATATTACTATACTTTCTCATTGTTTTTCTTTTGTATATTTTGAAGGACACTCCACTCTGTAAGGCTGCAGGAAATGGTCACACTGATATTGTAAGGTTGCTCATAGGGAACGGAGCTGATGTCAACAAGGAAAAACGGGTATGTTAGAAGGATAAATTGTACATGTTATAAAGAGTAAAGTCAGAGTCTGAGAGTAGGAGTTTAAACTTCATTTAAATTTGTAGCAGAATGTAGTCGTCGTTAAAGCAGATTCAACCATAT